GAAGCCTCCCGCCGAGCGCGCAGCAGCCCTGGTGCCGGGCGCAGGTGAGACGTGGGGGATCAAGTTGCAGACCCCGGTGCGGACGAGGGAGGGAGCGGGCCTGACTGCGCGCCCCCGGCCCTCCGAGGCCCTCCAAGGCCTCGGCCTCCCTGGCCTGAGGATCGCTGTGCACGTAGAGGGCAGACCTGGCCCCACCGCGGACTGTCTGTTGGGCCTCAACTCCTGCCCAGCTCTTGGTGGCGCTTGGGGACAACTTCAGGGACAGTGACTCCCTAGCAGGGTCCCTCTCCTCTGTTTTATTTATTTAAGGCTGGACGCATCAACTCGCACCCAGAGGTGGGAACCACTGGCCAGGCCCTGACCAGTTTTTTGTTCCCAAGAGGCTTCAGCCCCACCAGGACGTGTTTTTTTGTAAGTGTGGGGTCTTCAGAGGTACTTTGGGGGACCAGTCTAACTTTTGCAGCTGCTGCACAGAGGACTTCCTGTGCTCACTCCCGCCCCACCAGCTGGTGGAACCTCTGAGGCCCCAAGGCTTGAAAGAGGCCCCTGATAGGCTTCTCTGGCTATCCCTGTGCCTGTTGGGACAGTCGTCCAGTGAGGGAAGCCCTCCAGAACCCCGCCTATTGGCAGCTGGTGGCTGTGTTCAGTCAAGATGACCTGGGAGCCACGAGTCCTGCACCAGTCAGCAAATAACAGGATCCTACTATTCCAGAATGGAATCTACTGCTGGGGTGGTTGTGTATGTGTGTGTGTGTGTGTGTGTGTGCACTCTTCTGGGCACCCAGAGAAGCCTGAGTGGGCAGGTGGTGTGGCTGTGGAGGTAGCACTCTCCCTGCTAGTGTTGCAGGGTAGCTGCTACAGCTCCAGCCATCACATCAAGGGAGGCAGAAGGTGGCTGTTAATTTCACAAAAGCAAAAGCCCCCCCACCCCCCAGCATTTTGCTTGCCCCTGGCGACCAGGGCTGTTAAGCTGATCAACCCAGATGTGCTCATGACATCTGGGGTTGGAGCAAGAACATGGCTGCCTGAAACAAGACTGATTCTGCCCACTAGGAGTAAGGCATGAGCGTAGAACCACAACCCCTCTGCCTGACACATTTCAGAAAGCAGAACTTGCACTCCAGTGACATCTGGCCCCTGTGGGCCTGAGCGTCAGCCCCAGCAGAGTTCCCACCTGAAGGCTTGGTGGCTTTGGGGGCTGGACAGCTGGGTATTCCGAGGCTTGGGGCTGCCTCCTCCTGGGACAGCAGCCTAAGGACACAGCAGGGCAGCTCAGAGGAGGCTGAGCCTTCCCACTGTAGGGCCTCAGCTGCTGTGCACCCAGGTTAGCTAGCACCCCGCTTAGGTAGGTCACAGAAGGTCAGAGCAGGCCAGAGGCCACAGGGCTGAGTGCTGGAGAGCAAGACAGTCCTGCAGAAGGCAGAGCCGCAGGAGCTGGGTGGCCTGCTCCAGCACCCGGCTATCCCTCCACCCTCCGACCTGCTAGGGCTCTTGGAGCCCCTGGACCCCCAAGCCTGGCAGAGGGTGGAGGGAGGGCAGAGGACACAACTGCTGTCCTGCCTGAGGCTACTAGGCCTCCTCCCCCACAGTCTGGCTGTACCAGAGGTCAGCCCTGGGGCCTTATCTGGCAGGGCTGGGAGACAGTTATCAGCCACAGGAGCTGGCCACAGTGTCCTCATCCCTGAGGGCAGCACCAGCCATGCTGGTGTCCCCTGATAGATGCACTATGGAGGCCAGGCCCCAATGCCCCAGGGGGGCCCTTCTGGGTGGAAACAGGGCCCACATTCCTGAGGGCAGGGCTGGGCAGCCTCTCAGCCTCCTGGGTTGGAATTCCTGCTTGGCCTAGCCCTCCCCATGTGACCCTGGGCAAGTTACTAAACTACCCCGACAGGTCAGGTGAGACCAGCCCATCTTAGTGTCCCTCCTCCCTGCAGAAGGCCATCCCTAACTGCAGCCCAGACAAGGCCTGGCCACTGCCCTGCAGGGGCTGAGCTTTGGCGTGACGTCAGAGCTCTGCCTCCGGCCCAGCTTAGGCACCACAGCATGCAGCCCCACGAGAGCAGTGTCCACTATAGCAAGTGGGACGACAGCAGCAGGGACGAGGTCAGCATGGCTGCTGTGTCCAGCACAGAAGAGGCCTCCTGTGGCAGGAGGTGAGAGGCTCTGGGGGAAGGCTCCTCCCACCTGTCCATTCACGGGCCCACAGCCCTGGGCCTTCCACTGGGTGGGCTCTTGGGATGGGGCATCTCCCGGCTTTAGCAGAGGACCCAGGCCTCCCTTCACCTGGCCCTCCTGACGCAGGCCACCCTCCCTCAGGTCCTCCTCCCCCCCTCCCCCGGCTCGCTTGGGTGGCCCCTCCAGGGCCTGGCCTGGGGCTCACCTCCCAGCGGTTCTCACCCTAGGGTCGCCCAGAAGCTGTGCTCGGGCAAGCTGGGGATTGCCATGAAGGTGCTGGGCGGAGTGGCCCTCTTCTGGGTCACCTTCATCCTGGGCTATGTCACAGGCTACTACGTGCACAAGTGCAAATAAAGGCTGCCCCCCTCGCAGCCAGGCTGACCACAATCGCCGAGGATCCTGGGCTTGGAGGGACAGAACCCTTCGTGGACGTGGACCTGAAGGCACAGGGACACAGACCTAGAGGCAGAGCCAGCTCATAGGCATCCGGGCACAGGAAAACGCTAGTGTGCATGGTTGTCACGGGTCCCACCCAGGGGTGCCCAGGTGGACAGCTGAGGATGCATGTGTCACGTGGCCCCAGCACATGGGCCACGTCCCTCACCGGCAGCTACCCAGGGGTACACAGAGCTGGAGACTGGGCCCTGTCAGCCTGGGTCCTGTGGCCAAGTCCCCAGAGTTCCCTGGGCAGCTGTCCTCCCTAGCTAAGGGCTTCCCTCGTCAAGACCAGGGTGGGGGTGCTTTCTGGAGACCATAGGGGTCCTCCCATGGGGAAGTGCAGGCCCTGTGCCTGACTCCTGGTTTGCAAGGAGGCTCTGACAAGGACGGTGGCCCCCTGTGCACCTGTCCTGAGGGGTGGAGACCAGCCCCAGATGCTTCCTGTGTAGAGTGGGGTGGGCCCCTCAGCAAACAAGGTCCCTGTTGGGCAACCCAGCTCCCAGGGCAGCTGCGGGAGGATGGTGGTGGTGTGCCCACCAGCTGGCTTCGCCCCAGCAGGGCCTGCTTCTTTCCAGTGCTTGGTGTGGCCAGGAACCTGGCACAGAGCAGTCATCACAGGTCTGCTGGACCAACAGCAGGAGGCACCGCCTGGCCAGGCGCGACTTGCGGCCAGGCCTGTGTGGAGGACCTGCTTATCTTGCTGTGCCTTCTTGGCTACCATCCTGTCTGGCTCTTGGCCTTGAAATGTGTCCTGTCCTGGATGAATCCTCTTGTAGGGACACAGGGGCAGGCCTGAGCCCAGGATGTGGCTGGTCCTATTCCGTCCACCCGACACATGGGCCAGGCCCCGGCTGCTCTGGGGCCTGCTGCCCACCTTGAGAACCTTCGTCCCTCCTGGTACCTGCTCCTGCTTCCTGGGCTGTGTGCTCTGCCAATGTGTGCCACCAAGGGTGCTGCCAGAAGCGACCCTGCAGTAAAGTGGTCTCACCCTGCCTGCTGAGAGCGGGAGACGACGAGCAGCTACTGGGCTTGCGGTCAGGAAATCAGAAGGCTGAGGCCCTGCCAACCTCCAGGCTGGACCCCCACCCCCCAACTCCTAAAACCATAGGGGCTGGAGAGACCTTGCCCAGCGTTGGGGAGGGCCGTGCAGCTGGTCTCCCTGCTCTCCCATGCCCCTTGCTAGGGCTCTGAGGATCGATGAGGCTGTTTCACAGGCCTCTCCAGGCAATGACCCTCCTATGGGAGCCTGCAGCAGTCCACTCCAGTGGCCCTGGGCCTCAGCTCCAAGAGACGCCCAGCTGTACCCAGTACTGCCTGGCTGCACGCTGGGGAGGAGAGGCAGCAGCTGGAGGCTCTCCCTGGAGCCCTGTGGGATGGCACTACTGTAGAGGTCTGTGGCAAGGGGCACAGGCTGCCAGGTCAGTACTGTGCTCCAGAGGTCTGGGGTGGGCCAAGGCTGCGTGGCCCTGGGCAGGAGTAGTGTGCAGATGGTGCCAGGAGGGACAGCCCACGGGCAGGTGCCTTCCTAGCAACAGGGGACCAACTGGGAACCAAAGGAAGGGCAGCAATGGATCTTCGCTAGCTGGCCCAGCCCTGCGCCCCAAAGCCAGTCAGATGGCCCTAGCTCACCCTCTGGCAGCCCTCAGACACTCAGCCTAGGGACTCCAGCCAGCACCCTGGTGCCCACAGCCTCACCAGGCCACCTCCACAAGTGACCCCAGGCTCCAGGCCCCGTCCCCCCTTGTCATGAATTTGGGTTCTGGGGCTTTATGGTCCTCAGAGGATTGGGAGACCAGGACAGGACCATGCAGAGCAGTCCCTCTGCCCCCTCCTGGAAGATCTGCTGGACTGGTCCAAGTGACTGGCTGCCTGGGCGAGCCCCAGTGGGGTCCAGATATGGGTGGGGACAGCCAGGAGCAACTGCATGGGCCCTGGTTCCCAGATTCCCCATGTGGGCCACTGTGGGCTAGTGTGGATTTTATGCACCTCCACAAATAGCCTCGGGAAGCAGTAGTAGAGGGTCACTGAGCACAGACGGAGGCATTTCTTAGGAAATGTTTTATTAAAGAGATGGCCAGGCAAGGACGGTGTTGGCCAAACTTCCTATGAACACTCCAAACCTCATGGTACTCGGCTGCATCCACTGCAGCCTGGGGAGTCAAGGCAGCTCGAACCGGGGCTGAGCCACCCAGAGACAGGGTGGCCCTCTGCCACAGCTATCCAAAGGGTACTCTCAACTGTCCATGGCCCTGCCTGAAGCGTGGGCAGGGTCCTGCCTGGGGAAGCTCTCCTGGGCCTCCTAGTAGGACAGAACCCTTGCTAAGCACACCCCAGCAGCCTTGATGGCCCGACAGCGACTCATGAGACCACATGCAGGGCCACTGACACAGGCGTGACACAGGCTTTGGGAGGACAGGCCCCAAGGGAAAGCTATGGTCTGCAAGCCCACTGTAGCCAGCCTGGCCACTGGATTAGCCTGAGCCTGGTGGACTGGCCAGCTGGGCTGGAGCTGCAAGGCAGCTAGCTCATGCCTCTAAGCTCTGGAGCCACCCACCTTTGTTAGGAACCCACCTGGAGGGACCTTGGGCTTCCTGCAAATCCTCCAAAAAAATCACCAGTCTCTTCCGTGAGAGAAAAACTGTCCCTTAGGTCAAAGGCTACCAAAAGAAGTATCATCAAATAAGATGCTGATGTGTCAGGTGCTGCTCCTCAGCCAGAACCGAGCAGAGAGGCCACAGGACCTCTGGACCACGCACTCTGGCTCCAGGGAGGGTGTGCATGTGCCAGGCAATAAACCCACACACGAAACAGCCTTCACAACGGAACCCACCTGAAGGCCCGACTCGGGAAGCCACTCATCCGACGCTAGAACTTTATGATGCCTTCTCTGGTCCCTGCCCATGCCCTTTAGCAGGCCAGGGACCACTGACAGCTCATGAACAGAGCTGTCCCATATGCCCACCCATGCCCCACATTCCTCTAGGGCTAGGTATGACAGCTGTCCACAGCTGTGGTGCTGACATGCCAACGATGACCGGCCACCATTCACCCCACCCTTCCCGTCCCAGCTGTGCAGAGCCCACAGACCTGGGGCTGCTGATCCTGAAGGTCCGGTACAGCTCACAGCCGTCAGGCGCCCCACCAGCCAACACTGAGAAAAAACACTGCTTGTTCTAAACTTGTGTTTAAAAAACTTTTTTTTCCTTTAAATAAAAAGATTAAAGTCATGTAAGCTGGAAAACATGACGTTCTGGCACTACTGGCCCAAAATGACTTAGAAAGATTACATCATAGAAAAATAACACATGTTGACCAGCTGTCCAACTGACTTTGGCATACTCACACCAATCCCAGGGTCTCAGTGGGCCTGCATGATTTGGAACATGCTGAATAGCTACTTCTGGTATTTGAACAATTCCATGAAAACCTGCAACATCAGTTTAGTGTTGTGAAGACAACACAGCCATTCACTTTACAACAGAATCACTGGATAAAGCAAACAAAGACACACCTAACAACACGGAGGTGGGAACATACTGAATAACTTAGCGTCACTCACAAACCCCGTAAAACCAGGCGCACGTGACGGATGGCCTGCTGGCTTGAGCCCAGTTTGGCCTGTCAGCGAAGGACGGTAACATGGGGAGGAGCTGCAGCCAGGTCAGCCTTAGATGGGTACACCACCTTCAAGCTCCCCTCCAGGTCCACCACGCGAACCTGCTCCACCACCAGGGGGGACTGTCCATCCTTCCCAGCACCAGGATTCACTTGAGGATCCGAGAGTTGTCCAGAAACTGCATCGGCTTCCGTATCCGAGAGTGATCCCTCCTCTTTATTTTCTGAAGTGTATTTGTTCATTTCTGCCATTTTCTGAAAAGGAAAAAGATCTTTCTAACCAAGTGATGAGAGGTGGCCCAGGCCGCTGGACCCCTGCAGGCTGTTGTGCAAGGATGGACAGTGACGCTCTCCTGAGGCTGGGCAGGGCTCACTTACCAGAATGAGGGTGTCCATGACATCTTTGCAAATCTGCAGACTAGTGGCACTGGTCACTTCCAAGAACAGATCACTAGTCGTCTTCTTAATCTTAAAAGGTCAGATTCCAGAAAAGAACAGAGTTATCCAGAGCAGATGCCAGCGACTGCCACGGCATTGAGGAGTCAGCTGTGGAGCAGAGCGGCCCTGAACCACGCCCCGGCCTCCCTCCGCCAAGGCAGCCCGCAGCTCCAGGGAGGGAGGGCCCGTGCCTGGTGGTCTGCATCTCCACAGGGTTCCAGAGCTGCCGGGAAGACACCCACATCCCGGGGTGCCGTCCTACCTTTGTCTTCTCACTGTTCGTTATTGGTGGGAAAGAAATCACATCTCCATCTGCGTCCATGAGACAAGGGTAATTCTCCTTCCCGTCCAGTAAGTGAAGGTACCTGCATGGGAAGGAAGACATATTACAGGCACCTAAAAGCTAAACTGGCCACATGCCCTGATCCCAGTGACTCGGGAGGCTGAGGCAGGAGGACAGCCTGGGCAACTGAGGGAGGCCCTGTCTCAAAACAAAACAAACAGGGCTGTGTGCGTCAGGTGTGGAGCTCACCTAGCACAGGCGAGGCCCTGGGTTCGACACCTAGCACCACTGTAAAGTGCACACAGGCTAAACTGGATTAAACTGGAAAGTTGTCTAGACGCACCAAACACCACTAAGGCACAAGTTCTGCCTGCTCCAGATGGCCGTGCATGCAGGCATAGCCGATGCCCCACACCTGTGATTGCCAACAGACCCCCAGTGGTGCCCGAGGCTGGCAATTTACATCCTGTCCTGTCCCAGGGGCCACCCTGCTTCTGTCAAGTGACACAAAGCATCCACACCCGGCACCTGCCAACTCCCCCTGGAGCAGGCGCCACTTCCCACGAAGGGCCTGGGTCCACGCAGGTGAGGTGGTCT